CTCGCAGGCTATTCCAAGCAGCGTGGTTGGTCACTCAACCGACTCACTCGAGTTCACCAAGGGAGAGATCTGTTCTCGTTTTTTATATTGTGCAGAATCTTGCACGCACAGAAACTCATATAGAAACACCTCTCATCAGGAACTATTGGCAAAGTGAATATAGCTAATATTTGAGCTAGGCATGCCAATTACAACATTTGCATATAACAGAGAAATTTGCATGTTTGGTGAGATCTATAAAAGAAAAGAATGTTATTCATCGGCAACAAAGTTTAACCATGTATATTGTACATCAATACAAAGAATTAGACAAAGCTCCCAACAAACACACTTGCGGTTACTGAACCACTGTCAGATTATGGTCAAAAATTGGTGTTCTCTACTCACCAAATTAAATATGCATGGTGATTTAATCCAGGAAAAGCCTAGAAGTCCTTTTGAATCCTTTCCAGGCTTGCAAACAACCAAAATAATTAAAGGGAAAAACATAGAGGGGTAACATATATTCAATCACAGCCCTAACATACATGCAATCAAAACCTTAACATCCATTCAATCAAACCACTCTTTCATAAAAAACCTAACATATATTCAATCAAAAACTCTCAAAATCCTAAAGATTGTAAGCACACCCAAAACATAAAGATTGGTCCATATATAAGGACCATGTATCCACCAATACACCTTGCTGCAAGAATCATACCGTATGAAAGCAACACACTTAACACACAATCTCAATCTAAATAACCTTAACATAAATTCAATCAAACCCTACAAACCTCTACATACATTCAATCAAAACCCTAATAACGCTAACATACAATCTCAAGCAATTAACACATAACCTCAATTGTAATAACCCTAAAATACATTCAATAAAAACCCTACAAACATCTTTCATCAAAAACCCAATTCATAATTTCACAAACCATATTTCATGAAAAATCCCATTTTGAAAACCCATTCAATTTCTTACTAAATAATCATCAACTCAATATCTCATTCCATGGATTAAAAAATCCATAAAATCCAAAAACCCTACAAATATTATTGCATGAAATTAACACCCAACATTCAGTCAAAAACACTAAAAACTATAAACACCGAATTAATGAAAAACACCAATAAACACCTAATTAATGAAACCTCTCCCCCCCCCAAAAAAAATAAAATAAAATAAAATAGAATAAATTAACACTCTATTGATGAAAAACGCCATGAACACTTAATTTGTGTGTATATGTGCGTGGGTGTGCTGTTGTGTGCGTGTGTTCTATGTTTGTGTGTGTGTAATAGCATTAATAAAAATCATGAAAATGCTTGCTATTTATTTGTTGTTTACAACTATAAGCCCCCAACTAACTATTTTAAGTTATATTAGATTATCCTGTGTTTTGTTGATGTAGGATGAATTACGTATGAATAAACTATGTAAGTGATAATCGTAGAATAGTGTGGATATGTTGAGAATATTGAGGTTTCGGGATGGTCACTCTTAGTAGGACTGAATTTAGTTAAGTTTTAAAATATATTTAGAGGGAAATAACATAAAAAATAGATCCGGAAGGTCAAAAATCTTAGGAGAGATTATATGGGGTGTATTAGAAGTTTAGAAGTATTCTAGAGTTAAAATTTATTTTAAAGAGAATATAGGTAGAAAAGAATTTAACACTACCTTAGTGTTTAGATCATAACTTTTTATCCCAATATTCGATTGACTTGATATTTTTACATTAGAAACTAAACTTCAAAGGTTATAAAAGTGTATACTAGGTCAAAATTGAGCTCGAAGTCAAGAAGCCTAAAAAGTTTTAGGAGAAGAAAAGAAGAAATAACGGGTTGAATCTTGAAGGATTAACGCGGGGTAATCGCAACGAAACACATTAGGATCAAGATTCAAGAATCACGGTAAGTGTTTCTTCATAAACTTGTTTATTGAGGTTAGGGTTAATATATATGTAAGTTATGAAATCATTGTTCCTTGGTTTTCTTGCAAATCGTATCATATCTTGAAAGAAGTTATCGTTTGATAGCTATAAAAACTCTCGTTCTTGTTATCAAAATCCTAGTTTTCAAGAAATATTGGTTTTACCCTTGAGATTTTATTGTTCTTGATTTAAAAATTCTAGTGTTTTATTTCAACGATAAAATTATATTTCTTAATTATCTCTTGCATATTTTCTTGAGTTGTTATGTTGGAAAAATACCAGTTCTTGGTTTACCTGTGATTTGGTGAATGAGTTTGGTGTTGTATATCTTGTGTAGATGTTTTGATGAACATGGGTGACTGTCGAGTGGGTTTGAAGGTTCTCTACCACTAGTAGTGGGATTAGTGTTTTGCGCGGACCAAATCACTATTCGTTCACGAGTATCGAAATGGGTTAGATTCGTCACTGCCGATGCGTTGGTATATACTCTTCCTAAATTTTTGTATTCTTACGAGGGTCAAAATTTTCTCAATGTGTGTATTCATGCTAAGTCTTACGACATACCTGAGATACAGAGTTGTTAGGTTTGTTATCTGAAAATTGGTTTTGCTTCATCATTTAATTTATTGCTACTACATAAAGTTGAGATCTGATGAATTATCATTGTTTTATTTCTAAAGTTATATATGATTTTTTGTAAAATGAGACCAACCTATTTTATTAGTTTTCAAAACCTTGATCGAGATTGAGAGGATTTTCTTACAGAGTTTAGTGCTCACTCCTTATAAACAACATATTTTTCAGATTATGATCTAGAAAAAGAGCTCGAATTGGATGAGCAGGTAAATTGAAAATCTCAGATTGATGGGGACGTGGATTCCGATGTGGATGTTTAAAGCTGTTTCCGTTATGTTCTAGATTGAGAGATTAATTATGAGACAATGTTAAGGATAATATTTTAATTATTTCGCTACAAGATAATATTTGATTTTTGGATATAATTGTTATTGTTTGGCATATTTGTTTTGGATGATACTTTAGTTGTTATGGATGATGAATGAAATTTCTTTAATTTGTGAATTTTATTAGTTGCTTTCATGATATGAATGATTATAGACAATAATGTCTTCCAGGGTGAATTTTAGGAGTTACAATAGCAGTTAGAAATATCCATTTATTTGTTGTTTATAGCATTAATAAATAATTTGTTGTTTATTTGTGTGTTTTGCGTGGTGTTCTTGTGTGCACTATGTGTGTGTGTCGTGTCTTTGTGTGTGTGGAGGGGGGGGGGGGGTTGAGAGAGACAGAGAGAGGAGCTCACCTGAGTTGAATGGTCATCGCCGGTGGGATGGCCGGTGGTGGGGTGAGCTGGAGAGAGATATCACTGGTTGAGAGAGAGTGTGTCAAACGATTTTTTGGGTTGTGTCATGGGTTTTAAGTTTTGGGTGGGCTTTTTGGGATGAATTGTGGGTTATTTGATTAAAATGAATAAATTGTGGGTTATTGGATTAAGTTAGATGAAATGTGATCGTTATTGTGGTAAACTAACTTTGAGAATTCAACTTCGCCTTTGTTTTATTATTATAGACTAAGATTATCTCGTGCAATGTACAAATTGTATTTTTACATTTATTTTGAAAGATTTTATTTGTCATTTAATTGAATTTTCATGTAAGTTGAAATCAAAAATTCGGTCCGTATTTTGTAAATTATTTAGTATATCATTTATATTATAGTAATTGATATTAATAAGTCTTGAAAAGATGTATCTAGTGTTTTAAAATCTGATTCGACCGGACCCGATGGGTGACTTCAACGACATTTCAGATCACTTGATAGGATCTCACTCCGTGTTTTATCATACTCATTGAAATTGCATACTGTTTGTGATATTCTTACTGATTAGTGTTTATCTTCAAACTGATTAGTAATATTCTTCTTTATGTCTATTTGATTGGCATGTTGTTTATATAAAATGAAACATTAGCCTTTAACTTCAAGAGCATCTCATTGGGTCTTTCTATCAGGACTAAAATAATGGATTATCCACACAAATTCTGACCAAAACTTAGTCTTCGTCTAACCAAAACATGCTATTTTCAATATTATTATTATTATTTTCTAACCTTTTTATTATCATCGATAATTTTTTTTTTATTATATTATCGGTTTAACCAGTAACTCATTAATCCAATCTTTTTTCCAAGTTGATGTTCAAACCGAAATTAAAAACTATGGTTTAAACTCACTAACGCAAGTGACCACGGGTCCAATCAAGTGATACACACGTCAACATTGTTAAACCATTGTTTTTGACTGAACCATTTAAAATGACTAAGAAATTTTAGGTACTACACTAAGACAATTGAAAGAATGAAAACCCAAGTGAGCCAAGATGAAGCACACACTTACTTAAGAAACAATTAACATATTTTTACACAAGTAAACCAAAATAGACAAAATTAAAAACAGGAACAGCTAAAACTTTATCAGTTTCCATAGGAATAGTTCAGATATAGAACAATAGACAAAGATCTATTCTAACTATTAACCTACATATTGTGGAATGGAAGGAACAGAAAATTTTGACTAAAATCATATCATTAGAGCAAATATGGTAAACTGATTTTTTGGTTGTTGTTTGACATATAAGTCTTTTTTTGAAGGAATTACTACATTTTCCTCACGCTATCTCTTAATTTCCTATAATAGTAGACCATACACCATGTATTAACGAGGACCCACTTATATATATTGCATCATATTTGGATTCAAAACTAGTGATTTGCTATTGAAAGAAATTGAAAGTGCATAGAGGAGATACTATGTCTATATAACCTCTATGGCCTACTAAACCACATTCCAAAATTGGCATCCCACAGCCATGAAAGAGAGTCTAGAGGAGATCCCAAAAACATAAGCCTTGGGAGAATAGCCAGTTAATCTCAGTACTAGAGAGAATCTGCCAAAGGTTCAAACACACATAACTACATACTAGTAAGGGCCTTCAAGGTTGTTTCCAAGGAAAGGCATCAGTCTTGAAGGGAAGATTGCTCTCCATTAAGGAGTTTTTCAAGCTTGGTTTTCAGCTATCTTGCTTCTGCCACCAGTATCTGCTCCACTGTCATCATCACTATACGACGAACTATCTGAATCCAGATCCATTTTCCAAGCTTCTTCCACCAAGAAAAGAGCATTAGTCTCTCCATGCAGTTTCAACCCTGCACACCTGTATAAACCATGGTTGAGGTTAGGACTGAGGAGCATACTTCTCGAAATGGAGACAATAGAATTCTGATATTCTGAACATTAATCCTCAAAATAAGAAACTTCCTCTTAATAATGTAATTTTTATTCCATAAAATCATAACTATAATAAGTTCAATTTGTTTTTCTGGGCAAGCAACATGTGGTTAAGCTTCAGCTGCACAATTTATCCTAGTACAACTTATTTATTTATTTATTATTTTTTTTGGGGGGGAGAGGGGAGGGGAAGGCCCGTTGGTAAGTACAACTACATTCTAAAACAAGCAGGGATCCAACACTTCAATGAAACAACATAATTTCAACAAAAGACATTGGTCAGAGCTACAAGGTTGATGCTAATGTTTATCAATGCATAGTTTTATTTAAAGAAGACATTAAAAATAAGTTTGCATTTAAAAAATATACCATGACTTTGTCGGGACCTTGTGCGACAAAGTCAAACTGTAGTTGGAAAATTTAGTGCTGACAAAAAATTTAAAAAATAACTTTCAGTTCACTGCATTACAAGACAACCTCAACAGTAAAAAAAAATATTAGTGATAGAATGTGATAAAGGTAAAGTATGCAATACTGGTGCATTTACAAAAGAACAATTATGACGTTGATGACTACCTACCTGTAATTGATTTGCTGCAATAATATTATCCTATAAGTTTTTTCTCCCCTCTGGTAAGGAGCCTATAAGTCATCATATATTAGAAAATAAATATTAATAAAATCTGACGATTAAAATTAATGAAGACTATATCACTACTTCGTAGTATGCAACAGCACAAGCAAACCAATACTACTACATTTTGCAAACTTTCTTAAATTTTATGCACTTATTTTGTTTTAGGACTTCAATTACTTTTTCAGTATAAATTTTGGTAAACAAAACTTAGAATACAAATCAAACTCACATGGATATGCCAAGTTCTGAAGGATTGTTGATTTGAATAATAAAGTTAATTCTTTTCACCTGAATAACATAAACAATTCAACTACAGCCATAAAATTTTGTTCCACTAGTTTACACGCAAAACAGATTGTGCAACTTGATAGAATCCTGATCAATGACATGTGCAATCAGTAGTTCCCAGAGGCTGTAGCAAAATTCGTCACTTCTAGACTTTCAGATCATAGTCCAGGCATCCTCAAAATAGGTGCAGGAAGGAAGAGACAGAAATGCCCATTCAAATTCTTTAACTTCCTCACCCTTAGACATGACTTCCTGTAAATTGTTTCTAGGATATGGACTCAACATATTAGAGGAACATTACAATTTCAAGTTTCTCATAAATTGAAGCTGCTCAAGCAAGAATTCAAGAAAATTAACAGGCCCCAACAAGGGAATGTTTCCCTTAAAGCTTAAGCTGCAAAAGAGGTATTGGACAAATGCCAAAGACTTCTTGATTCTTTCCCCATAGATGCTGCACTCAGATCCCTTGAGAAGCATCTTCTGCAGGAGTATTCTTATGCTGCAAGGAATGAAGAGTGGTTCTTAAAGGCAGAAATCTAGAATTCAATGGCTAAAGGATGGTGATCAAAACTCTACTTTCTTCTTTAGAACAATCAATGCAAGGAGAAATAGAGAAGATTTTGTCTGTTACAAGAGTTGATGGATCCTCTACTACAGATTTTGACGAAGTTAAGCCAGCTGTTATCAGTCACTTTCAGAACCTGCTTGGAACTAGTGCCTCATGTTCTCTTAACAGAAATGAAGAGCTTGCCAATATACCCTGGAAACAACTCTCAGATGAGCAATCACTAAATATGGCCATAGATATTACTAAGGATGAGATCAAGAAAGCAATATTCTCTATTCATCATAATAATGCTCCAGGACCTGACCTGATGACTATAATGGCCATTTCTACAGAGCTTCATGGTCAGTTATTGGGGGAGTTACCTGTGTTGCAGTTAAATAAATTTTCACAGTTAAAGAATTTTTCATTAGGGGGTAGATTTTGAGAGAAGTCAACACCACTATCTTGGCCTTAGTTCCCAAGGTCCCTAACCCTTCTACCATGGGTGATTTTATGCCTATCTCTTGTTGTAATACGTTCCACAAAATCATCTCCAAGGTCATAGCCAACAGAATCAAGAAAGTACTAGGTGATATTATAAGTCATAATCAGGCAGCTTGTGTACCAGGTAGAAGAATTGGAGTTAACGTTCTTCTCGCCCAAGAACAAATGAAGGACTACCATAAAGAAAGAGGATCTCCTAGATGTGCCATTAAGACTGACCTTATGAAAGTATTTGACATGGTAGACTGGGTTTTATCATCTCTGTTCTAAGGAGGTTCAACTTCCCAGGAAACATGATTGTCTGGATCCAGAACTCTATTTCCACAGCAAGGTTTAGCATTTGTCTGAATGGTGAATTAGTTGGTTTTTTCCCAAGCAAAAGGGGTGTCAGACAGGGCAATCCAATGTCCCCTTACCTATTTGTCTTTGTTATGGATGCTCTTACCTTCTCAAAGCTGAGATTTATACTTCTAGCTCCTTTAAATATCACCAGAGGTGCAAGAAACAAAAGCTGATTCATTTAAGTTTTGTTGATGATCTAATCCTCTTTAGCCATGGGGATCCAGCTTCAGTTGTTATTCTGAAGAGGGCCCTAGACAAATTTCAAGCCGACTATGGATTAAGTGCAAACACAACTAAAAGTCGTCATTTTATGGCTGGAATTTCTAAAAGCCAAAGAGACCAAATTAAGTGCAGCCTGGGTTATGAAATTGGGCAGCTTCCAATATGGTACTTGGGCATCCCACTTATCTCAACCAAAATGAGGCTAAGGGATTGTGCAGCATTGGTGGATAACACTGAAGCTAGAATTAGAAGTTGGACCGACAAATCACTATCCTTTGCTGGTAGGCTTCAACTTATGAAATCCATTTTATACAATATTACAAAACTATTGGTTGTGTCATATCATCCTACCTAAGAGTGTCTTGAAAAATATTGATCAGTTATTGAGATGCTTCTTATGATTTGGATGTGAGAACATGGAAGAAGCTTCTAAAGTGGCTTGAGGATTGTTCTTAAATCAAAACAAGGGGTGGCCTTGGCCTTAAAGACCTACATAGTTGGAATAAGGCCCTTATGCCGAGGTACATATGGTATGTCCTCCCTGATAAAGAGAATCTTTGGGCTGTGTGGGTGAGGACAAACTACTTAAAGCTAAAAAGCTTTTGGGAAGTGAGCCCCCCTCACATCTGTTCTTGGAACTGGAGGGAACTCTTGAAACTCAGAGATATGGTTAGACCCTTATTCCTTCACATAATTGGTAATAGAAAATCTACTCATTTTTGGTAAGACAATTGGTATCCCCACGGTCCCCTCCTACTAATATGGTCATATAATTGAACTCTCTAATCTTCATGTGCCAGGGTTGAAGTTATCATCAGTAGAAATAGTTGGGTGTGGCCTACTTTAGTGGCAGAAGAAGTTCTGCACATCCAGAATTCCCTCCCCCCTATCTCCCTGATTCTCAGCAAATGGATAAAGTGAAATGGTTGCCTAGTTCATCTGGAATCTATTCTACTCAGTCTGCTTGGAAACACTTCAATAATTTTGGCCCCAAAGTTCCCTGGTACAAGCTAATCGGGTACCCACATCATATTCCTAGATTGGCCTTCATTCTTTGGCTGGCTATTCAAGGGAAATTAAGGACATTTGAACACATTAAGAGATGTATACATCACATAAATACGACTTATGTTTTTTTGCAGAGCCACAGAGGAGAATCACTCATTCTTTGATTGCTCATACGCATACATTTGCATTCATTAAGTTATTTGGAGTTGAAACTCATTACATATGATTATATAATTTATGTTAGGTCTAGAAGATACTATACCGATTCCACTTAAGGATCGAGCATAAGGTTGAGTGGTGTGTTGGTTGGTGGTGATAAGTGAAGTGTATTGCGTCATAATAATTGAAAATAAAAATATATGACTAATATAAGTTATTTTACTGTGTAAAATAAAGTTTTGATGATTTGATATATGTTGAGTTGAACAAATAATGGATAAAATATGTTTTTGTTGAAAAACTTGTGATTTATTAAAAAGTTTGTAATTTGTTGAAAAACTTGTAATTTGAATAGTATCCACTATGTTAGAGTTATTGATAGTTTGACATGACTCACATGTTGTTGATTTGGACACTCCACAATTATCGTAAAACAGCTTAACATTGCTTAATGTTGTAGATAACTTGATATTGCTTAAATGTTGTTAATAGTCTGACATTACTTAAATGTTGTTGTTGACTCATAGTACATGTGGACTATTTATTATGTTGTTATATTGGTAGTGATTATGAGATTTCAAAATAAGTTGAAAATACTTTGATTTTGTCGTTTTCCTCAGATTGTGAACATATTTTGGTGATATGATGTTTAATCCATATTTTTAATATTTTTCATTTATTATGATGCACAGTATACTCAATAAAATCTTTATTTTCAGGAAGATGAAGTTTAGAGTTAGATCAACTACAACACTAGCAGAGTCGAGATGGGATGTTAAGGAAATTGGTTGTGTACATTTTTGTACAAGAATGTCCGTTTCTTTATTGATATAAGAGATTAGTTCTCTAATGTTTTGTTTTGATTTAAGTTGCACAGTTATGCACTTTGCCATAGAGTTGTATAATTTATCTCTTTCATGAGATTATTAGTTGGTATTATTGGTTTAAATGTTTTCCTGAATTACATGTGCAAGTATTGCCACGTGTCAAATTATACTTCCATCTTTAGGATACCAAATAAGTCTCTCGAAATGAGGTGTGACAAAAAGGGTAAGACTATTCTTACTCCTTAAATCTCATTTCCCATCCCATTTAATCATATCACTTTAAACTACTAATTTCACTTAATCTATACCCACCTCATTAATTATTAAACCCATATTAAAGATTAAATTCATTTAATTTTTTTTCAACCTACTATATAAGTAACGAAATTTTTTTGTTTTAGTGTGTTATTTTGATACGAAAATATTTCAGAAATAAAATAAAAATTAATAATTATTTTAAAAATATTAGTCAAAATATCTTAAAACACTTCAAAATATTTTACAGATATTGATGAAAATGTATTAAGATATCTTAAAACATCTCGAAATAATATAGATCACCTTGGAACATTGAAATTTCGTTTCAAATATTATTTTTATTTCAGTTTTTTTGACATATATTTAATAATTTAATTGAATTGATATAAATGGAGTGAAATTAGTAACTAATGAGTGAGTGTAGATGAAGTAAATTTAGTAATTTGAATTAAGATGAGTAAATGGAGTGAAAAAAAAGATTTAAGGAATATGAATAGTCCACCAAAACTTAAAATGACCCGCTTAGCCGGACTAGAGTCCGGCCCGCGTTTTGCTTGAGAGTTGAGACTTCACTCGGGTCGGCCCTGCCCTGCCCTTTTTACTTTCCTGCTGAGTTCTGTTCAGTCCCCTCTCAATTTCTCACATCATTCTCCCAAAAAAATCTCGCCGCCGACCTGCCCACCTCGTGAAGGTGAATGGACGGAACCCTAAAACCACGCATCATCATCACTCGTCTCTCTCTTCATACCCACTCTTCAACCTCGCCGCTTCCACAACCGCCTCGTTCCTGAAATCCCCAAACCGTCACCCAAGCTCCAAGCCCTGAAACCCAGCCTCAAAGCACACTGGTTCGGAAGAATTGCTCCCGAAAACCTTTTTATTTTATTGGAATATTTTGGTGAGGATATGAATTTGCTCGATATTTTTGAGAGTAATAGAATTCATTGCTTTCTATTGATCGATACTTACATTGAAGATGGTCTTTGTAGGTTAATGCCTTTCGTTACAACATTTATTCTCTGCAATAAGGAATTTTGTTCCTGGTCATCTCTATGAAGCTGGTAAGTCTCTCTTTCTCTCTCTCTCTCTCTCTCTGCGCTTATTTGTGTGTGTGCGCTAATTAAAATTTTATTTTTTCAAAATTCATTGGTTATATTTTTTGCAGACATGTCTCAGCAAAGGTCGGGGTTATCATTTCCCCACATGCCACATACTCGATGTGTGTGGTTTTCGGGTATTATTTGATTGCCCTATGGACCTTTCAGCTCTAACAGTCTTTGCGCCGATTCCTGTGGATTCTTGCACCATGCTTGATGTTGAAGCTTCTGCTTGTTCAGCCCTTAAGTATTTGGATTCAGAGTCTTTCGAAAATAAGAGGCGCAAAATTGGAGCACCTCTTGATGCAAGCAGTTTGATACATGCAGAACCTTATTACAAAACTGTTAAAAGCTTGCACTTATGGAATAGTTCTTTTATTGATATTGTATTGATCTCAAGTCCAATGGGCATGCTTGGATTACCATTTCTGACTCGCGCTAAGGGTTTTTCTGCTAAGGTATTTTCCGGTTCGAGCAGTAAGAGTCTCAGTCTTTTCTTTAATTATGGTCTGGAATTGATAAATTAGGTTTTGATTGCAACTTATCCTTCACGCCATAAATGGTCTCAATATGCTTAAATTGGTTCGTTAATTGGGTCAGATATATGCAACTGAAGCCACAGCGAGAATTGGACAGCTTATGATGGAGGATCTTGTTGCAATGAACATGGAATTGAGGCAGTTTTATGGACCTGATGAGTCTGGTTTCCCTCGGTGGATGAAATGGGACGAGCTTGAAATGCTTCCGTTGGCATTGAAAGAGATAGTTGTAGGCAAAGACGGTAGCGAGCTTAGTGGTTGGATGCCATTGTACAGGTTATAATACTTCATTTGCTGGACAACTTTTTGTTATCTATTATTTCGTTTACTGTGGCATGTAAACTTAGATCATTCTATGTAACTATTTTAGACATGTTAGCTAACAGCAATTTTAGGATCTATACCTAGTTATTTCATTGGTATAGTGCATTTCTATTTTGTAGTCTCTGAGTCTGATGTTTGTTTGCTTCACCTAGGTTTCTTATTTGATCTGAAGAATATTTCTTCCTGGATGCCGTGTCTGGAAAATCTATTTAAAATTTTTAGGGATTCCATGTTCAACGTACTGATACTGTAATTGAGAAAAAAAATAGAGAAAGCACAAAGAATAATTTTGTGGGTTTGATGTAAGTTTGTAGGATATTACATATTATTAATATATCTTAACTTTAAAAATGCTTCTGGTATACTTTTGATATCTATATTCCGGAACTTTGATGGCATAACACAAATATCTTTGGAACTAGCTGGAATCACTTCTTATTTTTTTAACTCATGAGGAATCATCTCAATCATGCAGCCTTTGTACTCATGGCTTCTTAAATGTACTTTATGAAACTGTACTTTTCTTTCTCATTTATAATCAGTCCATTTTTTGAACAGCGAAACATTTGTGTTTGAGGATGTAATAAAGGATGTTTCTCAGTGCAGCTGATGTGAAGGATTGCATGCAGAAGGTTCAGGCTCTTAAATATGGCGAAGAAGCCTGCTATAATGGCACATTAATTATAAAGGCTTTCAGTTCAGGTTTAGATATTGGGGCATGTAATTGGACCATGAATAGTCCACGAGGAAACAGTGCATATCTTTCAGGCTCCGTTTTTGTGTCAGCAATGGCCATGGATTTTGATTATCCTGCGCTTCAAGGAAGTGATATGATTTTCTATTCAGATTTCTCATCGTGGAATGTTTCCCACAATGTCGAGAGTGATAATAGCCCTTCTCCACCTACAAGTGATATATCAAGTTTCAGGTATTCTTACTTTACATTGCTCTGTCATTATGTCTACTGCTATTCTTTGCATAATTTTTGGTTGTAAGCCCTGCTGCAGACTGCAGGCAAAAATTAAAGCAAGAGTTTAGGATTTCTTTCCTTTTGTGTATGCTCTTTTATTTCTGAAAATGGAAAATTAATATCTTCAGTTCTCCAATGAACTTGTGCAGTGATACTGATGATAACTGGGAAACAATTGCTCAATCCTTGCTAAATAATGATGAAGCGTCCGAGGAGATGGAGAAATTAGCTTTTGTATGCTCATGTGCCATAGATTCTGTTAAGGCTGGAGGTTCAGTCTTAATCCCAATTGGACGAATTGGAATTATTTTGCAGCTTCTAGAGCAGATATCTTTTTCCCTTGAATCCTCAAATTTGAAGGTATATTGTATTTACATATATTTGACTGCATAAGGATGAATGTGTCACTAATGCATCTCAAGTTGATGAGATAACATTCTATGAGAATGAGACTATGCCTTTTTTTTTTCTTTCCGAATTGAATTCCACGTTTTTTCACTCTTTTGAAGTTTATGTTCTGGAACTGAAGATGAGCATTTTAAAAATATGTTTATTTTATTTTCTTTACCTGACCGTACCACGCTTATTATAGACTCAAATTATGATTTGCCAAATTCTGTCAATTACAAGTGGGTAGGAGCCTAGGAATTTCTTGATTTTATATAGTTACATTTTCCCTCCTGTTGCTTAGCTCCCTCCAATTCGTTCTTTGGTCGTAGGGGGTGTAATTATGTCTAGGCCACTTTGCCAATAGTGCCAGTTTGGGTTCAAAGAGGTTAAAGGTCCAATGGTGCTTGTGTTGGTGCCATCATAATCATCAATTCATTCTAAAAATTTGTCTTTGTGTTAATTATGGCTTTCTTTGTTTTTTACTCGTTTGTCATGTTTATGTCAGTATGGGTGTAAAACTGCTGAAAGGCAAATAAATGGCCAAACTGTATAGATATACTGTGTGTATATATGTGTTTATATATGGTGGTTATGTTGGCCATCATAATCATTAATCCTTCTAAATATTGTGTTTGTGTTTAGTATTGTTTTCTTTGTTTTTGGCTCTTCTCAGTCCTGTGTATGTCAGTATGTGTGTAGAACTTCTGAAAAGCAACTAAATGGCCAAACTGTCTATTTATAACCTATTCGGAGACACCTATATATATGCATATGACCATCAAGCAGTTTGAATTTTGTTGGTGCCTCTTACTAAAGCTACTTGTGGGCTTATCCTTAGTAATTGAAGTTGAAGAACTAGTATGTGATCATACAGATAAATATAATAGTTGGCACCGAACTTGAACTGTTCTTTCATGCCGTAGGTTCCCATATATATCGTTTCTTCTGTAGCAGAAGAATTGTTGGCATTCTCCAATATCATACCTGAATGGCTATGCAAGCAGCGGCAAGAAAAGGTAGTTACATTCAAAGATTCTTCATTGCAGATCTTAGAAGAGTTATGAAGTGCTTTTAAGTTGAAACGTGCTACTGAATATTTTTAATGGGGTTTGCAGCTGTACTCTGGTGAGCCACTGTTTGCTCACGGGGCACTTATCAAAGAGAAAAAGATCCATTTGTTTCCTGAAATTCATTCGCTCAAACTGTTGTAAGATATTTACTTCCCTTTATATGTTGGGAAATTGCCTTTCAGAGGCCCCCCCCTTCCCCCCCTACTTTCTCAAAAAGAAAAACAAACACATGCACACAACCTCCACCTAGGAAAAAATAAAAAGCAGGAGGGAATATTGACTGCTGGAAACATGTTAACTTATGTAGGCAAAGAGGAACATTTCTATGGAATGCATTTGAAAAAGAAAAGTGCTTCCTTAATCCACCTAAATGTGACTGAGATGTTCGCAACATATTCATTTTTGCTCCATACTTTTCACCTGGGAACTGATTGTATGTCCATAGAAAAATTTGGCAGGAACCGTGTATAGTATTTTGTCCTCATTGGAGTCTGCGGCTTGGACCTGTCATTCATCTGCTCCGACGTTGGTGTATGGATCAAAACTCTTTACTAGTTGTGGAGGTAATTTTTCTGGTTAATAATTACTTTACTGCATTGTCTAGGATGACATATCTATTTGTACTTTTAAACTGTTTAGTTTGACTTTAAGCATGACTAAAATTGGCATGATTTAAGTGTATCTGCCCCTATTTGGTGGCATCCTTCATGTACAATGTGCAGGAAGGAGTGGATGACGATTTGGCTCTATTACCTTTTAAGCCAGTGGCAATGAAGGTCCTCCAGTGTTCATTTCTTTCTGGAATAAGGCAAGGAATACTTCTTCTACTGGTTGTTATGCTGCTAGTTAAATGGACATTATTTTCTTTTCTTCAAATACTTTCTCTCTCTCAGTGAATTTATGGAGACAAGGTTAATTATTTAGGGAAAGCTTGATCTTGAATGTGAATTTCATGGCTTTTGTGATCAACCCTTATTCGGTAATCACATTTTGAGTGGAATTTAAAATTTGACATACGGCATCATAAAGATGTTTCATTATTTTAAAGTAAGAATGGCAAAATGAATGAATTTTTTGGTGTCTTTCTATTTTGCATGGTTTGGAGTTTCTTGACTTTATTCAAAAGAAAAAATCATGGGTAAAATTTCATTTGATCCGACATGGGCTAGGCCTTTTGCACTTTACCTGCCTCATGCTAAAAAAATAGCCATGTAACCATCATGTGATTTGTGGACCAGAGTGCATGGTTACAATTTCCACCAACTTAACCGGGTGTGTTTGTAGACTTGCTAGGTCAAAGGTCATGTTTTGAGGACAAAAATACCCTTTTAAGTTTTTAAGTACAGAACTACCTCTGCTCTTCTTCTTTAGTCTGTTGCCTCTCTCTCTCATATCTCTTCAAATATATGTGTGCGCGCGTGTGTGCATATGTATGTACGCATAAAAGGCATTGTGTAATCTGTAAACAGAAGCATTTACAATTTACAAGAATCCCCTTCCCTTCATGGTGACAGTATTGTTTCATGATTAACAAAGTTTTAGTTGCTGAAACCTTTGGATAGCTTTAAGTGTCTCTATGATTTGGAATGCCAGCTGGGTTTGAAAACTTTGAAATGGCATATCCATTGGTATGGGCTTGTTTAGTCTGTGATGGCTACAGAGAATTCAATATCATCGGTTTGAAATGGGTATATGAGAATCATGCAGTGGAGGGGGTTTATTCATGAAATGGTGAAGTGTGAGATGGGTTTGAAGTATGTATATGCTGAAAAAAGAAAGTTTTCTTCTTCAGCTTCTCTCTGTCTCTCTCACACACGCTCACCACACCCCATTTATAAGGCATCTAGTCCAACATTGTAGAACAGTTCCATCAAAAAACAAATTAGTAGATACATTGATTATACCCTACAAAAAAATTCAAGCAAAATTACAACAAGTTCATTGCCTAATTCTGCCCAAAACCAGTCAAGAAGAAAGGAAGAAGAGAGGAGCCCCCGGCCACCATGGGTTGGTGGTTGGTTTTTTTTTTTTTTTTTGGTGTTGTTTTAAAGGGGGGGGGGGGGGTTGCATTAATTTCATTTTGTTAGTTTTGTTAATGGAGTTAGTGTTGCATTTTGGTCCACAAATCACGATGGTTATGGGGTTTTTTGAAGGTTAGGGGGATGAACTGCTACAGGCCTAATGAACCCCCCCCAAAAAAAACAATTTTTTTTTTTTGTGAGGGAGGCCAATACGCATAAGAGCTATTGGCACTAGCATAAAGTGGGGGTCCTAAATTACCTCTACTTTGAGGTTGAACCTTATTAAAGATGTTGACATAAAATATATTTGAAGAGAGTACATAAAGTGGATGAAATGATGGTTCTATGGATGTGCTTTGATGTGGAATTGGTTGTTTTTATTTATTTCTGGATTTTCCCGTTGTTACCATATCATTAGAACTTTCATCTCTCGTTCTGCAGGTTGGAGAAAGTTCAACCGTTGCTGAAGATTTTGCAGCCAAAATATGTTTTGGTAAACTCATTCTCTCATTTTTAAGAAGCTAAGTATGAAATTTAATTTTCCGTGACACCATTTCTAAATGACTATTGCTTGCTTTCCTGTGCAAGCTAGATTCCTGAAAATTTGAGGCAGCATGTTGGTTCTCCAGGCAATACATTTTCATTGCATTATTACTCGGAAAATGACACACTTCGTATACCAAACTTGAAGGACAGTTCAGAATTAGACATTGTGACAGACTTGGTTTCACAGTTCCATTGGAAGAAGTTGAAACACCAAGAAATCAATGTTGCACGATTGAATGGAGAACTCTTCACGGAGCAAGGCAAACATCGGTTACTCCCTGGAAATGAGCAAGTAGCTTCTTCATTGAATAGGCAACTGGTGCATTGGGGTACCCTTGATTTGGAAGCTCTTTCGATGGCTTTACAGAAGTTGGGAATCAAGGGATCCATTGAACAAAGCATGAGTGATGCTACTGGATTAGAAAATGCTTCTATTGTGCATGTTTTTGAGCCTAACAAGGCTTTGATAGAAGTCAAAGCAACAAGTACTGTTATTTCCACTGCTGATGAGAGTTTAGCCTCCCTCATTTGTGAAGCCATTTGTGGCATCTTGGATGGCATCTGATAGAGGTTTCAAGTTTGTGTATGAATTATTTTTGTTGTTTTTATGCTAATTACCGACAGATAATGACAGAAGTAATGGTATTTAAATGGCTTATGTTTTCATGCTCTCTTTCTGTGTTTGGGTGTGTGTGAGAAGGGATTTATACTTTGTCAGTGCTGCTGTTTCTTTGTGGGACTGGGTTTGATTCTATGGATTGGATCTTTTAAGATATACACGAAATGTGGCCATGGTATGTTTTAGCACGGCTTTCTTAATATCTCGGAGCCATACTTGTGTGCACTATTTGGAGAGTGCATTTACTGGTGTTCTGTTTTTCCTACAAGAAAATGGCCCATGTATTCATGTACCCGCGTTTTTGCTTTTTGGTCCTGGACAATGAATAGTTTCTCTAAGGTTGATTGCAGTCTAAATATATAGCTTTTAGGTGTGTAATTTTAATTATCAAATCCTCGTTGATAGGAGTGTTATTCGAGCCGGGCCGGCCGAGCTTAGGTATGCTCAGGCTCGGCTCAATTGCGAAGGTACTTGTTCAAGCTTGGCTCGGGCTCAACTATTGAGCTTAAAATTTTGCTCAAGCTCGGCTTGACAAGAGGTCGGGTTAAAAATGAGCTCTCTTCTTTTCAAAAATTCTAAAAATTATAATATGTTGACTAATATTATAACAAAATTATTATGCAACACTTTAAAATGATATAAATTTATTGGGATAATATAATGATAGAAATGACGTTTACTAGTGGGTTAGGACATATATAATAGGAAAATGATTGTGAGCATTTTAGTCCATTTACGTAACAATGTAATTTTGACATTTTTACAAAATATTTAATTAAATTATTATTTTATCTACTGGCAGAGGTAAAAGTTATCATTAAGGGGTGTTATTGATTTAAAATATAATCAGAAGAGTATGCAGTAAAGTTTTAGAATCGAAAAGGGATGTTATTGAATTTAAACCTAACTACAGAGTTATAGATGAAATTTTTTCTCTATGTAATTGGAAAAGGGTTGAGGGCATATTAGTTTATTTATATATCAAAGGGTAGTTTTGACATTTTAAAAATATATATAATCAAATTGTTAGAAGTTAGCATTAAGGGAGTGTCTTTGATTTGAAAGTATAAACTAAGAGGGGGTGCAAGTAAAGTTTTAGAATTAAGGGGGAATGTCATTAAATTTAGACCAAATTAAAGGGGTGTGAATGAAATTTTTCCAAAAAAAGCACAGAACTGAAGCAAATGGATCAGATTTGGAAGAGAAAAAAAAAAAAGAAGATAAAGAAGACAGATCTGGAACAAATGCAACCAGATGGAAGTAAAACAGAAAAAAAAAAAAATAGAGAAGGCAAATTTGGTCCTGATACACAGCCCTCCGTTCGTGTTTTGATGCAATGCTCTCTGTCTGGTGCGTGTGTGGGAGATAGAGAAGGGGGAGCAATTTAAAATGGGCGGGAGAGAGAGGGAGGGACCAATCTGAAATGGACGGAGAGAGAGAACTTAAAAGGATGTAAGGGGGTTTGGGGCACTATTCAAACTTCATGAGAGAGAGAGAGAGAGAGAGAGAGAGAGAGAGATTGGGCAAGTGTAGTCAAATACCACATGGGCGACGAGCACAAAAAAGAGGCAACAATCAGTGGATGTAGACCCTTTGAATGTGTTTGCCAAGAATACTCCTAAAAATTTCAAATACTATGATTTTGTACCATCGACGAAAATGTAAAGAAAAAGAGCAATCCTATCCTTACTAAATCATTTAAATCTTGTATTCTAAATTAGTGTGAGTGGTCGGATTTGTAGGGTTCATTAATTTCATTAAATATTAAATGTATAAGATTTTGACACATTATTTGAGATATAAAATTTAGTAAACAAATTTAAGCAACACAGATTTATCTAAAAAACAAACATGAATTGTAAACGGCTTGGGCTAGGGCTCGGGCATGGTTGGGCTCGAATACAAAATGGGTTTAAAAAATTAATCAAATTTGAATCGTTTTTATAAAACGAGTATGCCCGAACTGTTCATCTCATTTAACGGTTCTACTTTATGTGCTCTTGATGCTTAAAGTGGCTGTATCCTACTTTCATTGTGCTAAATTTCTTTATGTTGCAATGCCTTTGGTTAGCAAATCTTCCTAGTAATGTTCCTGTCGAAGTAGATGTCTCTGATATGATTTGTATCTGATCCGACGTAAAATTCATCGGATTCTAAATAAGGAATTTTTGGTTTGAACCCTATTCCATGTAGTGGTGGGTTGGGGTGTTCTCTTGGCTTCGTTTCAAGGGAATTCCGTTTTATGCTATGTTAACGGGATGGAGACCTCCATGTGATGATTTTATAGGCCTATTATGTGGTCTACTTTTGTTTTGCACGTTGGTTTTTTCCTACATTGTTGTTGGTTTCCTTAACCAATCACTCTTGACGGTAATTTTTAATTTTTATTATGATTCCTAGTAATACAAGAGTTTTGTTTCCCATAAAAAATTTTTGGTCATGTTTGGTTTGTATTTTAGAAATTATTATTTTTTATTTTTGAAAACAATTTAGAGGAAAATAGTTGTTTGGTTAGTTGTTTTTGTTTTTATTTTTAGAAAACTAAAAATAAAAATTGGATAGATTTTGAGAACAAATTAAAATTATTTTGTGTATTTTTAAAAACAATCTTCGTAGAATTTAAAAAACACCTCCATCACCACGTATACCGCATCATCACCAACCACCACCACACTTCCATCACCACTACCACTATACTTCCACTGCCCTTCCACCAACACCACCACCCTTATCGCATTTTCATCACCACCATCTCTACCATACTTCCATCACCACCAACGCAACCACCACATTTCCACTACTACCATATTTCTATTTTTGTTATTTTTTGGAGTTATTGTCCAAATAAGTTTTACTGTTTTTTATTTCGTAAAACTGTTTTGAAATCATATAACTACACAAGTTTTACGACACAAAAAATATCAAAAATAATTTTTTAAAACTCTTCAAAAAAATAATTTTTAGATACTATTTTTTGAAAAATAAACCAAACATAACCTTTATCTTTGATTTGAATTTTTCCGTTGTGCTTCGTCCATCGCTTTTCGTGCCTGTATTTTTAATTTTTCTTATTTTAAATTTCATCTTGTTGATTTCTAAGTTGTCTAGTGCATAGCTTTTAAAGCAAACAAAGATTCAAATAGCAGAAGGACATGAAAGGAATGGAAATGAAAGGAGCGAAAGAACAAGACATACACAGAAGTTTATGGGATGTTGATGGGGAATAAATTACTTTCTTTTGGCAATCTTTTGCGTCAAATTCCATTTTGTTGCCATTAGTTTTTACACGACGAAAAAAGTGTGTCGTCGTGGAATTATTCTTTTGCCAAAATCGCAAAGACATCATCGCCAGTGCTCCAATTTTTCATTTTGTACTTTATGTTTTTTTTTGGCATCTAGTTTATCATCTATTCTTTGTTCTGGCTGTTGAAATGTAGCATCGTCACCTATAAGTAAATGTTTTTCTCTTTTTTTTTGGTGATGAAAATCATATTTTGTCGCAGAATATCGGTGTGTTTCATCGTAGAAGACCATTGGCGACTGAGCTTTTAGGGGCGAATCTGTTCATCACAAAACAATGTGTTTTTTTTTTTTTTTGTTGTTGGACATAAACAACTGCCAACAATTTTAAGGGAAAATTTAAGTGATAACAAAGATAAGTCGTAAATTTAAGTGTTTAAAGTTTGAATATTATCAACCCCTTAAGACTAGGCTTTGCGGATTTATCCTTTATGAATATACTAGTTTTGACATAGATGACCTGAGCTTGATTATACCAAAGAGGAAATTAGTTGAATGTGTGTAAATTGGTCCGAACACCTTTGATCTTTTTGAACTAAAAAAAAAAAAACTACTACCAACTGAAGAAACTGAAAATCAGGAATATCATAAAAAGAGCATAGCCAAATCCACAAGCAAATGTGAAACAGTACTGCAGATAAAAGTTTCCAAATATCAAAATCACACACAAATCACCCTCAAATCTTCGAAAACCAGAGTACTCAACAGGTAGGCAAAAGCCTATCTAATCCTCCTTCCCGAGCAAAGCCCGGAGAAAAGCCTTGTAATCCCCAGAAGTGTGCTTGCCAACTGCTTTATGAAGGGACACAGTGTTTCTCTTGTAGTACAGCTCCTTAATCACCTCCAAGTCTTTTTCAGCTGTCGTAACGATTACCCGAGTAAGTGCATCTTCATCGGTCCCTGGCTTGTTAAGGGCATTGCGAATCACCTGAAATGTACAGTGACATTGCGGTCAGTTGGGTCGGGTTATGGTACTGAAAATTGCAAGAAAAAGATCCTAGTTGTGTCTGATAATCAATCACCTTTTCATAGTACTTCTGTGGATCATTGAAGCATCGAATGGCTGTACGCAATGCTACTAAGTAATCGTTCGCTGGCCCATCCACCAAATGCTGAAAAAATCACAAAAAGGAAGATCATGGATCCATGCTTAGCACAATACACTTAAATTTTGAATTTTGATTGGAAAAATTTTACAATGTGGCATGCAATTTTGACAAAAACGGACTGAGACACCAATAGGGTATGTACCTCGCCTACCAAGCCTATTGCAATCAAAGTAAAATGAGAAAGTACAATTGGACCATTGTGACACTAACGACTCCGTAAACTCGCGATTCAGCAAATAAAAAGGGAGGGAAAAGAAGAGCGCTATGCATAAACCGAGATGGACCATCTATAGTGACCCTCAAAACCCCATAAATGCGTGATTTAGCAACTAAGATGGCCATGAAGAGCCTTCTTTTATGAACTGAGATGGACCTATCATGACTCTAAAGACCCCATAAACTTGTGAATTAGCAAATAAAAAGAGCTATAAATATAGGTTTTGAAAAATGGGGATAAGAGATAAGCAAGATGACCTAAGCCGCCTATTCACATTGCAACTAATAACTAGTCATACTTTTGAAGAGGACTGTACAGAGTTAGAGTTAGCTCAGCAGAACACATTTTATCCTGAGAATAGGTTCTTGCCAGTATACCTTGGTGATTGAAGTCTCATAATCATCTTTGTAGTGGTTTAAAGTTGCCAAAAGCTGTAACTTGCTCCTTGTACTCACGATTCGGATGATTTCTTCATGATTAAATTCTCTCTCTTTGATCGCATTACGAAGAACATCAGCCTCGGAATTCGCCAATCTCGCATTAATCTCATTACCATCATACCTGAATGTGCTCACCAAGGCAAACAAAAGCTGTAACAGAAGCCACAAACACAAGAAACACAGTAAGTCATTTCATATAATCCACCAAACATTGACAAAGTTACTAAAAAGAACAGTCCAATACTGTTGAGTCTCGAGAGGGTTAAGGCTTGAGCAAAAATACATGCCTTTCGGATATCGCCTTTGGTATGGGAGGCCAGATCTTCTTCAATGGAGCGTTTGTAACGAATCTGGTAGGCGCGTTTCACGGCCAAGAACTCTTCAGGTGATCGGATGCATGAGATTTCGACTATCACACGATAGTCAGGGATTGGTGAGTGCTTAATTGCGACGTTCAACAAGACAGCATCTCGGTCTGTTGGGTCCAGAATCCATCTGTACACTGCTTTCTGTGTTCAAAGAGTAATGATACTTTCAGTGTCATTAGAAGAATGTAATAAATCTCCCTGCCTATGTATGTTTTTTGGGGTGTGAATTTTTTTTTTGTCACTATTGCAAAGTTTATCGGGAGAACTCATGAAGTTTGAACTCGCAACCTATGAGTCCGAGGGGGGGCTGCGGTACTATTAGGCCACCCCTGACTTCTTATGGGGTGTGATTAGAGTGGTGTATTGCATTATACAATATTGTGGGGTGTGTTAGGTTTGGCTTGAGGGGATAAGAGAGTGGGATTCAATTACTCCCCCTTACACCCCCAAAAAAAAAAAAAAATTTGTAATGAAAACCTCAAAGTCTCCAGAGAGCTCGGACTCGAGTCGCTTGATAAGATCTTCTTTATAAATCTCCTCATAAGCATGCCTGATCAGCTGCCTCTGAGTTGCAGTTCTATGACCAAGTATTGAGATCACAGCTTTCTCATCAGTTCCCCATCCTACATAATCCAGAGCATTTATTAGAAATTGATTTTGAAACATGTTTGGTGGCCAAGAAAGTGAAAGAGAACATAGAATACTGACAACTGATTCCAATCTAGAAAATGCTGTTACAAGAGGTTGTTTATTTTATGGGTAATTATACGGGGATCGAAAAAAAAATTTGGTATCCTACAAAAAAATTACACATTTTTTGGTGTATAGGTCAGCTTGCGCACACTTCGACTAATTCTTTCTCTGATCTGATTAAAGGCAGACCATCTAGTTATACTTTTTCAACGATAAATTATAACCGCTTAAGGTAACTTTATCCTTGGGGAAAAAATCAATTTCAAGATATATATATATATATATATTATATCGGTATTTTTTGTCATGGATCAATAAACTTGAAAAATAAGACAAGTAAGAGATTGGATAGAACATGTAGACCCCACAAAAAATTCTAGGGATGAACCGGTGTTTTGGCTGCATTTTATCCCGACCCCACTAATTTAAGATCGATAAACAAACAAGGAATTGGATTTCATTAGACTGAATTAATTATATGGATCCCACCCACTTATTTGTGTTTTACATCAAACATGCGATTAGACTAACGTAGCTCAAATCCAAACGACTTATCAAACATATATCGATTGAATTTGAGTCGTTAATCCAATCAAGTCCTACACTCCAAACACACTAACAAAGCAAACAAATGATCACAAACCCACAAAATAAAAAAAATATTAACTCAGGGAAATGTGTAAAAACAAGGGTATAAAGAACAAGAAAAAGTTGAGAAACAGAATGGAACGAAACCGTTCAAAAAAATTGATATAACCTTGAAAAGCCTTTCTCAAAGCTTCAGCATCTTCAACAGGAGAAGCATGCTCAGGAGCAATAAGGGTGGCCATTCTCTCTCTCTCTCTCTCCTATGCTGTTACAAGGAACTGGCTCTAATTTTTAAACCCTCTGTTGCTTTCATACCTATTTATAATACCAAGTTACTTTGTAACTCTCAAAGTTTAACGTTGCAAGTAACGCCAAGTGGCATTTATACCCTTCTGTGTCATCATCTTAGGTCATCAATTGCAGATAATGTTGGCCAGCAGGTACCAGGTTTCACACCTTATTAGCAATTAAAAAAGGGGTTGGGTTTTGGATTTTTGCTAATGCATAGTGTGAACGCAATGAAAGGTTCTGTGTATGTCTCGACTCTTCAGTTTTTTAACACTTTTTACCAGAACTATTTGATGTATACGAGCACATTGAATTGAAGAAACCACTTAAATATGTGTGAATTGCTAAGCTTTCCACATGGGCATTGTGCCATGTGTCTTGTGCAAAAGTGTACTATTTTCCAAAACCCAATTCCCCCTCCCCCAAAAATAAATAAATAAATAAATAAAAATAAGCACCAAATATGCAATTTGCAGAGACAGAGGTTACCTTAAAGTGATGATATGTACTTATATATTCAAGTTATATGTCACTGTCACGAGTTCGAATTTAAAAATCATTCATTCTAAAATAAAAATAATATGTTTAAGATATATTTCATGAGTTTGAATTTAAAAATCAACCATTCTAAAATAAAAATAAGACTATCCGCTACTCTTTTTTATCCTAGTAATCGAGTTATTTGGGAAAGTCTTAAATCACAACCTTTTAAGCAATCTACAAAGATATAGTTTTCAGATGGATTTGCATAACAAAACAAGACAAACTATAAAGAGTTAAAGGATAATATTTTTTAAGAGAGGAAGGTGAACAAAAACAACCACCGAATTAAGATTTATTATAAACATTGTAACACGTATTTGTATTTGTCTTCGCAGGTAAGCTAAGAAAGTGACTACCCAGTCCTATGTGCTTAATAAACAAGTGTTTTTTTTTTTTGCTAAAGAAAAATAGGGGTAGAGGTAAGGGAGAGCGTCTAAAGACCATCCCATAAGTCTTCACTGGTGGGATTATAAGGCTCCTGACCGTGTTCGTTACTCCTAAACTATTCCAGTTAATCTACGAATTGACGAATGAGAATTAGCCTCTTCAAATTTAATGTAAAAACATCTATTTTTAATTTTTCTCAAATCCTATTCTAACCGACAGTCTTACACTTAATTACCACCTATAATCTTCTATGCAATCAACATTTAGTTTATATCGAAGCTACGATTTACAGACAGATGTATTTGTAAATCTAAAGAAGACAAACCATAAACAGTTGAGGGATTGCATTTTTATAAGGGGGAAGGTGAACAGATTACGTTGGGAACTAGCATTGACCAGTGTATGATCAACAATGTAACATATATTTGTTTTACTTGAGGTAAAGAAAGTGACTATGTCCAGTCATGTTCTTACTGGTTCTCTTGACTAATATATATGCCTAAGGCTTTGTTTGTCGACGGCAGCCCGTCGTTTGACTGTCGGGTTTGAATCTCACCATCCCTCTCCGATAAAAGTTAAAAAAAGAAGAAGCTTTGTTTGTCAAAGTTTAGTTAAAATTTTGTATTATTTCGTACCAGTAGAATTGGTTTGAGTTGGTCGTTGAAAAAATAAAATAAAGGGAAATATTAAAGTAATACAAATATTTTTCGTGTCAGCTTGTGATCGGATGAAAATAGAAGATAGGAAGGATTATATTAAGACTCGAGGTTTATCATTTAATCACTCAGACCTTCTGTTATTAAAAATATTACATACAGATCCTTGAAGTTTGTACACGCATAATACTTAGACTCAGTTGTCAATATCTATTAATAAATTATACTTAGACCCTCTGAAATTTATAGACATATAATAATTAGATCCCTGAAATTTAAAATATTATACTTAAAATAAAAATACTCCAATCAAAGATATAATATCATATATTTTAAATTTTACAACCAAAATTCATGTTATATTGTATCATTTATTGAAATAAAATAAAAAATAAAAAATTAATTTTTTTTCTTAAAAGATTGTGATTAATATACAATTATACTATTTATTGAAATAAAACTAAAAAAATTAAACAAGGGGTTTAAATCATTCATAATAGAACATGAATTTTACAACCAAAATTCAAGTTCTATTATATAATTTATTGAAATAAAATAAAAAATAAAAATCTATTTTTTTCTTAAAAAATTATAATTAATATACAATTATAATATTTTTTGGAATAAAACAACTTTCATCATTTACTTCGAATTGGCGTAATGGTATTTATTTGAACAAGTTAAAAGTGATCCATTTAAATAGTGTTAGATGTTCTATACATATAGGCTGATATTGTCAACTGGATTACATTTTCAAATGAAACTTTGTCAAACATTTTTTAAATACATTGCAAAGTTAAGAAGCAAAATACATGTTTTTACGGGATATTCAAATTTCTTGTTACATTGCGTAGTAATATACTCGTGATTTTTTTTTCTCATAGTGGCTTCATGTTTTCACGTGTGTAGTCATCATAATTACATATAATATGCTGTTGGTAATAGTATTACTAACATTTGATTGAATGTTGAAATAGTGAATCTTGGCATAATGAAATTAGGGTGCAACCCAACCCGATAAAAACAAGATTTGGATTAGATTTTTAATACTTGCGTTGGGCTTGGCCAAAAAAATCCCAATTTGAATTGAATTTGGGCAAGTCTTGGATTGAGGCCTCAACCTGAATATTAAAATTGGGTTGAACCCGAATATACATAAATATATTTAATTACGGTTAGTATTTATCTTCACTTTTCAAAGTCCAGACTTTTACTGCACTTCAAGTCTTCACCCTTACACTTCTATCACTCTTAGATCCCTCTCTCACTCGTCTCTCATCTGGTCTCAGCCTCCCTCTCTTTTCATGTGAGTTTCGCCCTTTATTTCAGATCACTTGAAAAAATCAGATGTGCACTTGAAAAAATCAAATCTACATATTAAAAAATCAACTCGAATTAAGTAATCTAAGTTCAACTCGATTTTTAACTTGAAATCAACTTAGATTAAGTAACCAAAATTTAACCCGAACCCGCCCGAATTAAACTAGGGCAGTACTCGGGTTGAGGTCGGATTAGAGTTGAAGATTATATACTTATAGTTGAACTAGAGTTGATCTCTCAACCCGCCCGACCCCTAAATGAAATATACATTTCTCAATGTCTACAATGCTCTTTTATTTAGTACGTCTATTAATTGACAATAATTTTTTATTGGAAATTACTAATATCTTATATCTATATAATAAATCAGTTAGTAAATTGAATCTTTATCCCTTATAAATTTTTTTTCCAAAAAAATACATCACCCAATTTTATCACATATTCAATTATTTAATATTTAAATAATCTATATAATAAGTTAGCAAGCAAGTTGAATCTTTATTCCTTATACATATTTCCCCCAAAAAAATATATCACCCAATTTTATCACATATTCAATCATTTAATATTTGTTTAATTTGTAGTTTAATACAAGTTTTATTTCATACATGATAGTCTACACATGTTGATATTTTTTTATCGAATTATGTATTTTAAAAATTTTTTAATGCTATTTTTTGATGGGTAATGCTATTGAGACATAATTAAAAGACATAATTTGAGGACATAATGAGTTGTCACCAATAAAATGATAGTGAAATGTATTTAATGATAGGTCCCATTGTAGCATTAATGAATTCATTATCATATTATTGATGATAACTCATTCGGTTCTCAAATTATGTCCACAAATTATGTTTCAATAGCATTTCTCTTTTTTTTGACGTACAGTATGTTGTGTTGCTGGCTGTAGAATTTAGGTGTACTACGACAAATTGTGCTGCTGATGCTTAACCACAGGATGGGTAAACAGGAAAACAAATTGTTCATATTATATGGATGATTTTGCAAATAAATAAGAAATGACTCGATGAATTTTCTTATTAGAAAGCTGTCATTCAAGAAATTCTAGACTCTATTTCTACATTGTTTTGAGGATTATGCTTCTCAGTCCTGACATCGTGATAGTTGATACAGGTGTGGGGGTTTTAAGCTGCTAGGAGAGACCAAAGCTCTTTTTTTGGTGGAACAAGCTTCGAAAATGGAGATGGAGCCAGGTCTCTCATCATCTAGTGATGATAAAGCAGACACTAGTGGTGGAGGTGACAACCGAAAACCAGGGTTGAAAAACTACTTAATGGAGTCCAATCTGCACTTCCAGACTGATACTCCTAGGCAAACAACCTTTTGTATGCCTTTACTAATTATGTGTTTTGGACCTTTGGCAGATTCTCTTTAGTACCTAGATTAACTAGCTATTCTGCTAAGGCTGATGTTTTGGGTTACTTGAATGGTTTGGGTTCTTCACTGGATTACCCTTCATGGGTGTGGGACGGCAATTTGGACTGTGATTTAATTGTACAAAAAGGCTATAAAGACAGCATCTGTTAGAAAGCTTTTAAGTTTATTATCAATATATATGTATAGTTGTATACACACACACACATATGTATATGTATTTGTGATTGAAAGGTCTCGTTAGGAATTACCCTAAGGTTCTGGTTCATGACTTCTGTGATCCTACTAAGCTCTTAGGAATATTAGATTTCTAATCCATTCAAAGATCATTGCATACGCTAGGTCAAACAAGCAACCAAGTAGTCTGTGTATATCTACCTTTCAAAGGTTGCTTCTTTGTTTCCTCAATTTATTTAAATTTTTCTGATTATATGCTTTTAATCTAAATTTTCTGTCTTTGCTGCACCTCCATTTGTTTTTGAAGTTGTTACACGAGGTGTTTTATATTGACATGTAAAGGTCATCTGAAATCGGAATTGATGGTTTGCAATCTTCACACAAAGATTACTTTTCATGTGTGTGGATGCCAATTTGGAATGTGTTTTAGTATGCCATGAAGGTTATATGCATAGTGATTTGGGTCTCCTATA